TTATCTCGTGGTGCGTTGTTGTGATGTGATTTTGGACAATGAAGTTCCATTTATTCAGCAGTGAATTGAGCTAAGTTAAAATATTGTTTGGGTAATGCCCTTTAAACGATTTTAAATTGGATACCTATTTTCAAAAAATTTATTCCTATTTTTGAAACTCGGGATTTATACCTTTAAAAATAATGGGGCGCTACAAAAACTTTACAGATGCAGAATGACAACAATGTATCAACTTGTTTAGCAAGTCTGAATTCATTGTAAATTCCTTATCTCATCTTAAGTAAATTCTTTCTTCACTGTAGTTCTATTATTATTAATTGTACTTTAATTTGTATTTTTCTTCATGAGAATAGGAACGATCTATCAAAAATTCTAGAAATCGAAGAAAGCATAAATACTCGTGTTTTAATGGATCAAAAAGTTTAGTAGCCCATAACATGGATTGGGTACATCTTATACAATTTAATGTTTTTTATATATAAAGTAATATAATTCCTTGTTATTAGACATAAATAGATTGTTATTTGTTTTATAGAAATTGCAAGAAGAGTTGGTTTTTAGTGCGTTAGTATTTTTTCTTAGGAATATAATGAGGAAGAGGAAAGGGATCCGAGTTTTATAGCACTATTCAGAGAGATGCACACCGATAAAGAAAATGGGGAGTGAGTTAATAAGACCGTCGAATCTGATTATGTAAGTTGATCATATAGATATTGTCTGTACTTTTATATTCCATCAATTTTCATAAACTACTTTTATGTAGTCTTGTCTTCTGCAAGCAAGAGAATCAACACGACTAACTTCCCCTGATAACATTGTGGATGAAAAAGCGATTATGCGGGAAGTATTTAGTACTTGGCGAGGTCATGAATGCGGTTTTGGACGGATCCTTAAGGGGTCAAGTCCTCTGTCGTTCATGATACTCCGGAATCATTTATTACTTCAAATACTACTAGAAAAGATACTCAAGGTGTTACCCCGAATGCTGGAAGTTATGTCAATCTACTGAAGGAGGTATGCTTTTATTTGCACTTTTTTAATGCTAGTCTTTTTGGACTTTTTACATTTCATTCATGATTAAATGAAAGCAGGCATTGGATTTTAATATGGTTTGTTATGGATCTTTATTATATGTGTAACAAAGTACTGTAGAAATTATCATTTCTTGTGGTGTTACTAGTAATAGACACATCAAAATAGTATACTTATTATCTTTCATTTTAGTGAGTTGCATTCTCACTTTAAATTGCAATTTATGCTGACTACAGTCTCTAGAGCAAAGAAGTTTTGCCATTGATTTTTTCTCTAGAGATCCGTAGGAGAAAAGTACTGATGAGTTATATTGGGTTAAGGAAAATATTGGTTCTTTGAATTCTTTGGCTCTACAGAGTAATTGAATTTTTGGTTTTGATTATTTTAACCAAATTTAGTAAGTAGTCAAATTAGCTCAAACTTTGTTGAACTTTGTACTTGCAACATGACTTTGATTTAATTAACATTAGGTGCAGAGATGTCGCAATACTCACTCTTTTTTAGGTTGGTTTTTAACGTTATTGATGATATTATATTGTGCAGAGCTTGGGCCTTTATGCTTAATCAGTTTAAATTTCATTATACTTCCTAGTTGATGTAGTTTTATGGTTGTGTTGTTCGCATTATAGTTTGTCACTATTTTTTTATGCCTTTCATAGAAAGTTCTCTACAACTTTTTTCTTGATCATGCTGCTTTTTGTTCAAGATACTATTTGGTTATTTGATACGGAATTGTAATTAATACCTTTGTTTTACGTATTTTTTTCTGTTAAAGTTTGAGAAAATGTCAAAGGCTCTTGCACGACTAAAGGCTAAGGTTGGGAATGATGTTGATGAAGAGGAGGAGACGGATGCTCAATTCACTCATCATGAGAATGAGAATAAGCAATGTGGATGTTAGTTTGACACTTCAATATATTTGTACTTTTGGTTGGTCTCGACTCTTTTGGTATATTTTTTGAAGCAAGAGAACCAATTAATTTACAAGGGGT